CCTCTAGATCACTCCTGAGTGGGCATTTGCTATTGACTTTCCCATTCTCCTGCTAGCTCACTTCCAAAGAGAAAACTGAAGCATTCTAGTTCATTGCTTTTGGGGATTTGGATATCAATTTTTAATTTTTTATGCAAAAGCATCAATTAAGAGAGCTATTTATATGCCACCCTCATCCTCTACCTTCCTATGGATTCAGTCAATGAAATATAATGCTATTTTGTTTTATAATTAATGACAAATATTCTACTCTCTCTCAAAGAGGGGTTGTTGGCTGCAAATTAATTTTGACTGACCACATCTAATAAAGAAAATGTTTTAGACATACATTACTCTTAGTATTATGAAGACCAGCAGAATTATCTGTCAAAATCCTAGTGCATGATCCTTGAAAAAAATGCTAGCTAGAAGCCAGTAAAAGAGAAGGGAAAGTAAATAAAATATGCATGGCTATTAATATGGCTTAATATGAATTTTTAAATCACCTCTGAAATTCAAATAGATATTGATAAGGGAAGATGTCATTATAGAAACACTCACCCTACACATACTTTAAAGAATGAATCTTATGCTTAATGTAAGACAAGCTACCTGATCTTTATTTCTGGGCCACAAAAGAGCAGTGACAGAAAATTTAATTTCATTCGAAAAAATTTCATCATTTAAAACCCTATTGTTAACCCACGGCTAGATTTTTCTCAGTCACCATGGGGATCCAGACCCCCTTACAGGATTTCAAGAACAAACTTCTTGTGATCCATTGCCCTGTGGCCAATGAAACATCCCTGGCCTCCCTACCTGTGAGACACTTCTGACAGCTTCATCCTTTTTCACCCTGAGAACTTTTACGTAGAAGCCTATAGGGCCTCTCCTTATCCCTATTGTTCAAGTTAAGAACAAGACCAGGAGATTCCATTAAAAAATAGGTGGGTTTTGTTTTCATTTTTTGCTGTTATTTTAAGAAACAACAAACTTGAACTTGCATGTGTGTTTGTTTACAATTAAATTAAGTAAAACATCAAAAATAACTTTAAAGCCTCAAAATTTTGATCTTACCTATTCTAAGCTCATATATTTGATAACAAAAATTAGTATTCATGGTTTATGAGAAATAAAAATAATCTTAAAATAATATATATACAAATATATATCTGTCCATATATTCTTTAATATGCATTTATACACACCTATATGCATTCACTGCATACATATAACAGCTACATAAAATAGGGAAAATTTAAAAACATTAGAAGTTGATTGTTTTTTTCTTTCCTAATCTATCCTATACTTATGTATGTTATAAAATCTAACACTGTAATCCATTTAGGGTCATCAGTCTTGTTTGTTTGGCAAAACCACTATTAATAAAGAAGTAATAAATAAAAAGATACATTCTCTTTGTAGTGAATAAATATTTACACAACTGAATTTTGAAAAATCTTTTATTATATCCACCCTGAAAAATTGTTACAAATATTGCTTAACTGGGGGGGGCAGTGTAAGATGTAGAGGTCACAGAAGAAATGAAAAAGTACTTGTTAAGATTACACACGGTTGGCCACCTATTTAGCTCAGTGGTGCCGCCGCCTGCCTCACAAGTGCAAGGTCCCGTGTTGGATCCCCGGTACCAAAAAAAAAGATTGCACATGGTTTCATTTATATGAGAAATCCAAATTATAAAGATAGACAATAGGATATAGCAAAATAGATCCTTAGCATATGGGAAGGGAACTACTAAGGGAAATGAAATTTTTTTAAAAAGGAGAATTGTGACGTGTTGTGTACATATACCAAGTTCCTACAAGGAACATGATCATCATATACTACAAACATGTTCATATATAAATAAATAAATAAACAAATTCCAAGAGATGGGGAGGAGAGGCAGAAGGAGATAAAAGGACTTAACGGGACATGTATATATGTGGTAATTCCCCATAATGAATGTAATCATTATGCACTACAAACATGTACTAATAAAAAAATTAAAAATAGATTACCTGAACATTTCTATGGCAAGGTACAGGTTCAGAGTGAAGGGGCCTATACTGAAATGTATGTGAATTTTAAGCAAGGTGTTCAGCTTTTCAAGAAGATTACAGTATCATTCACTATCGCTCTGAAAGTCAACTGCCTCAGATGTGCTCTAATGCTTAGCATTATAATCATAAATTCAGATGGATTCTGCTCAGAAATACATTCTTGGTACTAGATTTACATATAACATCTATACAAATATAAGGAAGTTCTCTTGAATCAAAATTCCAACCAATAAATATTGTACCTCTACTATATTGCAAGCACATGAAATTGAATTTTAAGATAAAGCATTAAGAAACTGAAGCCCCTATACAGTACAAATGATGGAATTTAAAACGTAGAAGAATGTAAAGATTTATTAAATTGGAAACTTCCCATGAGGCAGTAAAATAAAAACAAAAAGTTTTGAACTCAGACTTAACTGTATTTCATTCCCACTTGTACAATCATCAACTGTAGGACTGTATACGAATTGTTATAAAAAGGGATGGTAAAGGTACATGGATAAAATAAGTTAATGCTTTAAAAGTACCCAACAGAGTCCCTGCATGGTGGTAGATAGTCCATAAATAATGAGACTGTTCATGAAACATGCTATTAATAACATTAATTGCAAAATATTACTCCTGCTGCCATTTTTTTAATTTTCTGAAGGACCCGTCAGCGTTGTTAGCATATGAAAAATTCTTAGTATGTTTGTTGAAGGAAGGAGCACTGAATGAAATGCATACTGTGATAGGCATGCAACAGAGTCTAGACAGGGGTAAAACACTTACAACTGTTTCATCCCTCTAAGAGGAGGACAGAATTTTCACTTTTTTCATTGCTTCTATTGTTGTTTGCCTTTATGCTTGTTTGAATACTTTAAGAACAAAGTGATTTCCCCTGACAGCTAGTATGAATCCAGTCCCAGATCTGAGTTTTCCATTCTGTTATTAAATCATGAGATAACATTATGATGTTCTAAAGTCTTAACAGCCAAGCTGTCCTATTTGGGAAAGTGACACACAACTTTAAGTTCCCAGAATGGTACCTAAAGCTTGCCTTTTTTTCTGTGAATCTGTGTATTTCTATTTTATTAAAAATACTGATTGGTGTATAAAAGGAATAAAATACAGAAACAATCAGCACAAAGGAATATCTAAAAATAAAAAATGTTTCTTGCCCCTGATCCAGCATGTTTTCAACTCAGTGTCTAAGAAATAGTCAGTGGAAAGAAGGTAAACTGCACCAGAAATAAATGGTTATGATAAATTTATAATCTGTTTGGGTCCACAAATTTGTCAAAGGACAAAAAAAAGAAAACTGAAATATTCTAGCCATTTCAAAACTGTTTTGCTAAAATTAACATTTTTTTAGAAAACTCAATGCTTTGTTGTTGAATTTGTTTTCCTTTTACACAGTGAAGACCAAAAGACTAGGAACTGAGGTATTTACATGTAAAGTGGAAACGTGTCTTGCTTTCATCTAAATCTGCAGGTTTTATACTCATTTTTTCTTTCAAGAATGGAAGTCTAACCTTGGCATTTCTGTTGTCATCTCTTTTCTAAAATATTGTAGGTGTTTACTAATTTTCATTTCACTAACAATTTCTGGTATCCTAATTCTTGTTTCAGACCAGTGTCACAATGGTGCACTATCATGTACTATGCTGTTAAGACTGTGAATGAGCAAGAAAAAGAAATGTGATCTAGAAAACATGTAGACAGCTAGTTGTTTTGAGTTCATGCAAGATTGTTTTGTTTTGTTTTAAATTAGAAACTGCGGGCATAAGGGCCAGTCCCCACATTTGTGCTAGGATGATATCTGGTGGGGTATCCGTTACATTGACAGCTAACCTTTTTAATGGATTATTTTATACTTCACACTGAAGATAAGAAAGCAAGAAAAAGTACTGGGGAATAGATCACAAAACTACAAAAAATTTTGTGTGTCATCCCAAACAAAATATACCACCAACAGATGTTCAAGACACAACCTAAAGGAAGCCTTATTAGAACACATGAATGCTTATTTTTCTGCTTAGAGTATGATTTACTTTAAATATTATACTATCAACTCAAAATGAAGAGCTGTAAGTATAAAAGAAGGGGAAAAAGCCAGAAAATGGGTAGCACAATGGATCAAATAAATTGTAGGTCGGAAATAAATCCTTGGGGAAAGGAGGGACAAGCAAACTTAAGACATTATCTGGTTCCTGAAAATAGACTTTGTGTTATATTAAAATAAAATATTCTCATGCTTGATCATATTTTATAAAATGTTTGTAGCCATCCCTACTAGGCAAATATTGTAGGGCAGTATTTCCTAAGTGTATAGAATTATACAAGTTATGCGGCTATAAACAATAGACTATTATTTTAAAATTTATTGTAAATTTTAAAAGAAATATTCAATCTATTTAATATTCTTGTTAGTATTAAGATTCTCTGCAAATTCCTAAAGATTGTTTTTGTCAAGTTCAATATCAAACAAACTGTTCTCATACTCAAAATTAATTATAATCCACTGTCCCAAAGAGTCAGATTTCACATATTAGTATTTTATGTTTAACAGCATGGCAACAAAAGAGCTTTAAAATTCAGCTCATTCTCTACTATTATAAAGCTATAATGTTGCCTGTAACAGATATATATCAAACCTAAAAACTTACTTGATTTTTAAAAGAACATTTTGAAAATTTACTTAATAACATGATAATTTATATTTTTCTTTCAAAGAATTTCATCACTATAATGACAGTGTAATATCATTTTGCAACAAGATGGGATGACATTTCACAACCTGAAACATGAACTTGAATAATTGCCGTTTCTAATACTATAACTTGTTGCAGTGGAAATACAGCCATTCAAAAGTTGACATCCAACATATGCAAGAACTGTGACTTAGAAATGAAGCCAGTCATCAACATATATCACAAGTTTCCAACTTTAATAGTGTTCTGCAGATAAACCCACCTCAGACTCAAGGACAACAGCTGCTCCTTGGACTTCAGTAGTTCCCCTACTTTAAAACTTGCATACCCCAAGAAGCTTCGCTGAAAATAAGAAAAAAAAAAGGTTTTCATTAACTCCCAGGGTTCTTAATATTTCTCCTGTAGCACCAATTACACAATATCAGTCTTTAGAAGAATAAAATATTGATCCTATTAGCCTGACAAATATTTCACTGACAGAAATACAACCATCAGTAATAATATATCCACCTCACAAGGTGAGGTTGAGGGGTGAAAATGCATCACTGTCATTAAACGCAAAGAAAACAATAGCCTGGAAAATAACAAGATGTGAAATACAGCAGCCAGAACTTTCTACTACCTATGATTTTTCTCCCTATAAGAACTAGGATAAAAGAAAAGATGATAAACATTCAATATTTACCAATGTGGCCGTTCTTATTAGACTTCCTCAAATCACTGACAGCAATGACTGTACTCCAGATATGAGCAAATCTGTTTCTTGGAGCTATTTTTATGTGAGACTCTGTACAAGCTATAAATAGAAATGCTATATTTCTCCCCTATCACAGAAACATTTAAAAACATTTGCTTCCTTTGTTATTTCTTTACTAGCATGAGGCAATTTCATTCCAATATACACACAAAAATGGGATTTTTTCAGTTACATTTTCTAAAATTGCTTTTTAAACTTACCTATGAATATTTGCCTTGTACTCTACTTGACTCTATGTGAAGAACCCTAAGTTTTAGTCTCTCTCAGAATAAAGATCTTCCATCTTTTCAATGTCTCTGGGTATTTCTGATTTAAAAGTCATAATAGTAAGGTATAAGTAACGGAGCATTTCTCATTCTTTCATCAGGGCCAGGAGTAAACAAGCACCAACCCGTATTATTACTGGTATCATTGCTTCCTAACATCACATAACACTCTCCCAAAGGTCACGGCTATCTCTTCCAGAACATTCTTCCATCACAGGTCTGCTGCTGGACTACAATGGAATGAGAAGCTGGATTTAAAGGGTCTGAGGCCTACTGGATACTTTCAGAAGAAAATAGGAATTTATTCCATATATGAAAAGGGATGTGGACATTGAACTTCAGTTGAGCATGGCTATGAAAAAAATCTTTAAGTCAGAACCTCTTACCTCTTGTCAAAACTCTAGAAGAGCTGCATCAAAGGGTTTAAAGACAAACATTTGAAACTACAACTTGGATCTGACATTGGGGATATCTAGCTTTATTAATGATAAACCCAATCAATTAAATTGGATATATTATCAGATGGAGAAAATACTGATGAAAGTAGATTTGGGGAGTGGTACAAGGAGAGTGAAGCAGGCAGAGAAGCAAATTAAGGGGCTGAATCAACAAAATATGCAGAACTGTGCTGACTTTTCATCAAGTAGCAGAGCTCCTGGTAGAGATCCCACTAACTAAAGCACTTGCGTTACCACATCAGAGGCACTTTCTAGAACACGTCACCCAAAGAGGCACCTTTCTCCACACCCACACTGTGCTAGCCGCTACTTCCTATCCTGTTGTATTGTTCTCTGTTGGCAATTTGGTGTATTCAGTGGTTGTTTTACCCCCGTAAGTAACTGAGATAAGAAGCTCCAGAAGGAGCATTATTTATTTTCCATAAACTCTCTGTGAGGCACACAGTAGGCATGTGAAAATATTTTCAGTGTTTATTGATAATGTATGAATGACATAGATACAGCTGTAAGCAAGTTATCTTATTACACATTAGGAAAAATGCTTATTTTGCAGTTATTTATACACTACGGTAATTCACAAAGTGGGAGAAAGCAAAACAATTTCATAGTGTGCAGACTACATAATATTGTAGTAAATTTCATTTCAGCACTTTGTATTTTAAGTCGATGTACATCTCACTTTCGCTCACTGACATCAGTACTTTTAATTGAAATTTCTGCTTTTCACATATTAATCACACTCAAAAAAAATCTCAACAGATCACAAATTTATGTCACAATGCCCTCCTAAATTTTAAATTCTTTCCTGTTTGCCTTTGGAGATTCTGTAGGTATGGCTGACTTTAGAATTAATAAAGTAAACTGCACATGTCCGGACATTATTGCAGTCTTTTCAACAATCAAAGCAGCAAACACCCCAGAGTGGAATGCAGCAACTGGAGACAGGTGGAATGGCTATTTTTAGACATAAGCTACAGACACACCATAAGGCACAGCTGCAAGTACAACTGATGACCACAAGACACTGAATGCTCCTCCTGCCCACCAGACCAGGAGCTCCTGGGGAAGAATGGCTTATCCATTTCCTAGCCAAGCCAGTGTCTGGAACAGAGGGGCTGAGTACTGAGTCTGTGGCTTCACTCTGAGTGCCTGCTGTGTGCCAAGAACAGCGACCACAAGTCAAGATTTTCTACCACAATGGTCAGCCAAATGCTTGGTCTCGCAGGATAGTATCATAACTTTCAGAAATAATACAATCTGTTGAACAAACGACTTTGGTAACGTCATCATAGTATTACATTATGGAAACTTTTCACATCAGGGAAGTGTTATATATGTACAAATGCTATATTATTCATTCTAATTGCACCTTGGGATTCTGTGTGGGGTTAAAGCTGTTAAAAATATCCCCATGGTGCAACACCCCAAAATGGAACTTCCTACACATTTACTTTCCAGTAGGTTTGTATTTGTTTGCTTTATCCCAATCTAAATATAAAGCCAGGGCCCTTCCCACCTTGAGTACTAAAACAAAAATGATCCATCTAGGTGAATACTCACTGGACACACTGTAAGAGAATGAATTAGAAAGAAATCAGTCTTATTTCTGAGATCCAGATATCTATTTTGGGGAAAATGGCACATAACACTAATGTAAAAGAGTAACAATAGAAAGCTATGTTGTCTTTGCTGTCACTGTGATCGTAATCATAGAATTTAAGAAAACTTGTTCAAAATTTTTAATATTTGAAAAGTAATTCGAGGGATGGTATTTTCCATATCACTTTGGTGATGTTACTATCAGGGGGAAAAGACAACAAAAAAATAAGGACTTATTCAAGTTGGAACTGGAAAGTCTGAAGTGTGGTTCTAAATTAGTTATTCTGTCCAAAAGTGGAAATATGGATAATTAAATTACTCTGCTGAGCCACAGGCTCATTACCCACTGATAGCAATCATCAGGTTTTGTTTCCTTGTCATTTCCTTGTGACATAAGTACTTTTGGACTAATTATTCTACTATGTGGGCCTTAGGTTTCCCTTTTAAAATTGCATAATATCTGGATCATTCTCATAATTGTTGTTTTGAGAATTAAAGTAGCCCAGGAAAAACACTTAGTTCACTGACAGCAAAATAGGAAGGACACCATAAATATTAGTTTGCACAGTGATTAAGATAATACACCCAAAGGAGAGCTCAGATGCCTTAGAAGTATCTTCATCCACCTTAAACATTCCAGAAAAGACAGAATATTAAAAAAAAAAAACAAAAACAAGAAGAGGGCCAGGGATTTAGCTCAGTGGTGCCGCTGTACGCCTCATAAGCTCAAGGTCCTGAGTTCAGTCCCCAGTATCAAAAAAAAAAAAAAAGAACAAGAAGACATAAGGGGAAATGCTTCCAGAGCATACATAAAATATATTTGCAAAAATGAAAATTAGATTCAGGAAAATATAAATTAAAAGAGATCCTAGATAAAGGATGAAAAAATACAAAGTTGGTAAGCACCCATATAGTTATTATTGCTGAGCAAAATTACCTATTATTCTACATAGCTCAAATGTGTATTAAATTCCCTGGAATGTTTACAGGATGTGAAAGTTTATGGTTTTACTATTTAGTAGAGGAAGGACCAGGTGTCCATGAGAGGTAACTAGCTTACATGCCCTCATAGAACTAGTGAAAATGCAAGGAGAACCAGGGATTCTTGCTTTTCTGCCCAGAATTCTTTTAGCCCCATCATGCTGTGCCTCATTTCCAGGACAGGTGGTAGTTCCTTTTCCCTCTGACAGGCTCTCTGTCTTCACGATATGTGGCTGTGATCTTTCTTGCCTGCTCATGACAGTGGAACACTAACAGTTATCACTAGGTGTGCCCCCAAACCCCAAGGCTGATCATTAAATAGCTCCATACATGATTTCCATCACTCATCTGCCTGGAGAGTGATACAAAAAGGGTGAATAAGAAGGGCGTCTATTGCACTCCCTGAGGGCTCTATGGGAAGCATGTAAGTAAACAGTTTACTCTGCTAGCCTCTGCGGGAACTTGGAGTAAGTTATAGACATCTAGACCAGGGTTTGATAGCTCCATGTCACAGGTCCACAATGGCTTTCAGAACACCACTAAGGAAATTGGAGGAGGCAGGCATCGGAGCCACTGAGCTAAATCCCCGGAGGAGGGGAAGCCCTATAGAGTTGCCACAACCTGTCAAAAACTCCATCACCCGTATTCATATCACAGTCTTTATTCAAAGATAACTTTCCTTTATAGTATAATTTGTATGGTGCCCCTCAAAGTTTTCTAACTACTGTCCAGGGATATGTTATTCAATGAATAGTATTAGCCTAAACATGGAAAAATGTGCCTACTCCAAGTTGAGATGTTATCAAACTAGAGAACTACAACTGGATTTAGATTACTTAGCATAAAAACAAATGTGAAATATAATATTATTTGTTGTATTGGCTACATTTTGATACAATAATGTTTTGCATGTATTGGGCTAAATAAAATATATTAAAATTAAATTTAATCTCTTTCTTTTCACTTTAAAAAAAAAACTTGATTCTTCCCAGTGATACGCAAGGGGCAGTACATCAAGGGAGATTTCCCAGAAAGTTACTGTTTTTCATAATTGAAGGAGCAGGGTGACCTGATCTGAGCTTTCTGTTCTTTATCACTCTTCTGACCAGCATGTGATGCATGCTGATGTAGGAGCCAGATTGGAAAATACACTGAGAGAGGAGGACTAGGAAAATGGACAGCATCTGGATGCTTGAAGCATTTTCAAGCAGCTACAGTTCTGCAAAATTTACCCCAAATGAGAAAACCCAACTCACTACTTTTAAGCCACCATTTGTCAGTTTACTGGTTTCTAAACACCTTCCCAACTGATGAAATAGATGTGTCACAGAATGGCAACTGAGACTTTTTTTGGGGGGAGGGGTTCAGGAATTATGGCTGAATCTCTGTCAAAGATGAGGACAGGACATACCACATACACCCCACTGTAAGCTCAAATAGCCTGAGCCAGTAACTTTTCAATGCTTAAGGAGGAGCCAGTTTAGAGAAACTGGACTAGTAGTAGCCACAAAACATCCAGTTAAAATAAAGGTAGGGATAGAAGAGAGGAAGTCAGGATTTTACCAAGTGTAATATATAGGAGATGAGACCAATCTCTTTATTATTTATCTTCCCAGGAGACAATTCTGTCCCCAAAGCTAAAAGAGTTTGGTTCTTTTAAAAAACCATCACTTCTAAAGGTTAGAGGTGTCAAAATCATCTTTCCCTACTCCAAGGAGCAGCAATTGTCTCTCCTTGAGAATCATGAACTATCCAGTCCCTGGTGGCATTTGGGATTAGAGAAAGAGATGGCCACGCTGAGAGGAAACACCTGCGAGGCAGTTTGCATTTCTTCCATGTGACCCTCTTGTCAGTCACATGCACAGCACAGAAAGTGTTGACCTGGAGCCACATGTTTAATCAGGGGGGTCTCAACAGCAAGAGAACATTGGATGAGGTAGGCAGTGGCAGAAGTTGGTCCAGAACCACCCTCCATTGTAAGAAATAGGCAGTGGGGAAAATCAGACAAGGATCCCAGAAATATCCATACATGCATCCCAGAGGAGAGCCAGCATCTCCTGGTCTGCAATACGAGGACTCTGATGGGCAGTGTTAGGGAAACATCAAAACCAGCAGAAAGGAAACTATGTCCTTCCTGTGAGCAAATACAGGGGAGCTTCTGCCTCCCCACTCCTTTCCCTTTGCCACAGCAGCTGACCAAAGAGAGGAAGGACTAGAACATGTGTGAGACTCAGATGATTCTCCTCCCTTCACAGCAGATAGCTAGAGTTACAGAGAGAGCCTGTAGTGGGAAACTAAAGAAAATAAAATCAGAGAAGAGACTCAAGGTTTAACATGGATGGGTGGATTCCCCAAGAACTTGAGTGAGAGAAAAACAAGGAGAAATTTGTACAATTAGTATATAATCATCTTCAAGTGTGGGGGGGGTTGTTCAAGAACAGTTGGGGGGATGAGGAGTTGAAGAAGAAAAAATAAACACGCTCATTCTCCTCAAACTTTAATAAGCAAATGACATATCTTGACACAATAATCATTAGCTTTATCAGTAGTAACAAATTTCAAGGGGCTTTTAGGGTTATGAAAGCAGTGAATGGGGTGTGATGAGTAAGTGCATTGAAGGAAGATCTTTGGGTGGTAGCAGTGGGCAAGGAGTCAAGAAAAAGAACCCTGAGCAGCAAGCAGGAGGCTGGAAAGGATTTGGTGGACATGCTGCACCAACTACCAGGAGGCCCAAGACGTTTGAGCACAGAGCTGGGAATGATAGAACATACCAGGCTGAAGAAATTGGCAGAAAAAAAAGAAAAAAAAACACACAAAGTCTCACTTGAGTGCAAGGAGTCGCTGATTCTGGCCCCCAAAAAACTGAAAGCTGTATTAGGCACAAGGTTCTACTTCCCTTCTCCTTCTTCACCAGCAGATGCTCAGATAACTGATGCTGGGTTCACTCAACTGAACTGGCACTATGGTGCATGCTTTTGGAGCACTTCTTTGGTAGGTTTGGAAGAGGCTGCTGTCAATTAAAAACAAATCAGTGGAACCTCATACCAGGCTGTGCACACTCAATAGAAGAAGGTTGTCAAAAGCCTGTAGGATTTCAAATAGGATTTCAGTTGGCCCAACCCCAGGGCTGTTTTTCTCTTCTTTGAATGCACAGATTATAGAGACTGAGCCTGCTGGGCTGTATTCTTTTCAGTAGTCAGCACCTCTACTTCCAGCCTTTCCTAGCAGAAAGCACCTAGTGTTTGGTCGCTTTTCCAATTTCTGAAGGGTAGAGATGCAATGGTCACATTCAGCGGTAAAGCCTCAGTGGGATTTTCCAACACTGGACTAAGTATTCGTAGTGGCCTCTTTTGACCTGCAGTTCAATATTTCAATGGCAGGAGACAGAAAACCTCACAGTTCCATGGATGCCTCTCTGCCCTCTTCCTACTGTGGTACAGCCCACATCCGTAATTTCCCTAGTTTCCTGTTGGTCCAGAAATGTTGCCTATAAATTGCACATCAGCTAACTGCAGGGCAAAATCTAGGTTCATCTACAGCCTGCTGAACTAAATATAAATTCCTTGAGGATGATTTTCAGGAATAAATTCCATGCAAGTCAGCAAATATGTGACAGTGCCTGCACATTTAACTGAATTTCATTTGTCAGTTAACAGACAGGAGGCCAGAAAATTCAAACAATTAACTTAGAAATGATGTGTTCCTTTGGAAATAGAAGAAACACTTACCCCAACTTCTGGTGGGGAATCCTTATTATGTTCAGATAGGACTCTCGTTCGAACCTGTAGAGAAAAATAAACATTTTCTATGTGACTTCAGAGCAGAAACTAGTGCAGAAGCTTCACAGAGGTGCTGGGTTTCAGTTTCCTTTTTGTGGTATTAATTAAAACTCTGTTGGTTAATCATTGACAAAAGTACCTGTGCTCAATACCACTGTAGCACAATAAAACTGTCCTTTTACAGTTTTTTTTCCCCTCAGATTCTGGGGATTGAACCAGGGCTTTTCATGTGACTGTCAAACCCTACACCTCTAAGTTACACCCTCAGCTCTCCTTTTATACATTTTTAAGTTCCTGTTTTTCTGAAAGAGTCTTGTGCATCATTTCCTTGTCAAATACAGAGATGCCTGGGATTAGGTGAATCACCTTGAATCTCTTCAAAGAGCATCCTTCCTTCTGTATCCAAGGAAAAGTACAGAGCTGGTGTAGAAAAAGCAATTCTATGCATCGTACTCAATAAATATTCTCTTAATGAACACCAAACTTGCACATAGGATATCCCTCCCATGTGAGAATTCTGGGGCAAATTATCAGACAGTACCATTTGAATTCATGTAAAATGTAAGTCTCATTTAGGGACAGAGAACAGTGTCAAAAAAACACTCAGCTGTGGAAACTTTTCAAAAAGGAATTCTAAGTGAAATATCAACTCCCTGGATGATGAATACAAGTATCTTCCAGTCAGCAGTGATTCTCAATCCTAGATGTACGTGAGAATTACCAGAGGACCCTTGCAAACTGTTGGTGCTCCTTGCTCCCAGATTTTCTGCATCTAGTATATGCCTATTGAGTCTACTGCTCTCTTAAGCAAAAGATCTTCCAAATAAAAAATCATGAGTGTCTTTCTCACTTCAGAAAGAGTAGCAAAAGAAAGGAAAAACTTAAAGCCTAAATCTAGTATGATATGACCTTGACTGAAATCAAGGTGAGCTAAATCAGATGGATAAATGAATACAGGGCAGTATGCAAGCACATCCTGTTGGACTGGAGAGCAGGGGGTGCAGGGAGGAAGGGAAAACAACAGCCCAAGAGCACTACATGGATCAACATTTTAGGGGGTCATTTTAACAAGACCTCTTTGGAAGTACAGCTCTGCAAATTATGTTTTGCTTCAAATCTTTTAAGTCCCCAAATCACCTGTGCCTAAGCGGGTCAATTATTTGCAGATGAAGGGATGCTTATAGTACTTCTAACATGTCAAAAGATCTGTGCCAGCTCCTAATGGCCTGCTGATTTTTAAAACATAGTTTCCATTTCCTTGAAAAAAGCCAGAAGGCATGGCAAAACGTGCCTTTCAACTTACAGCTTACCGTTCATTCTTTGTTTCTTTATGACAGATCCAGCTCTATCCCTTGCACAATTTGTCAGTCATTATGGCTTCAAATTGTTCACCAGAGCACAAAATAAATGCCAGGAGAGATCCCAGCAGAGTAAACAACACAATTTATAGAACACATTCAACTCAGAATTGCATAGCAGAGCACTCACTGGCTGAGAGCCTCTGTGTTAGGAGCCGCATTAACACCCTTGGGCTGAGTCACACTGTTCAGTCTCATTATTTGAGAGCCATTGGCTGCCCTCCAAGGATGAAGAAACTATAGGCTAGTGGGCTAAATGGACCATATAGCATGTATATATTTGCTATATATATGGTATACAGAAATACGATCTCTTCAGCTCTATGTGTCTATATAACAACTACATATAGTGAAAATATATTCATATTTATGCAAGCACACACGTGTGCCTGTAAACATTATTTTACAAAACTGACATCCAAAATAACATTTTCCAAAGGGATATGCTTAAATTTACAAATAAAGTGAAAAAAGTCATAAATTGGTGAGGCTCAACATATATGGGATTGTATAAAGTACTTGATTTATAATATAACTATATGATTAATACTGATCAAAGTTAGAATAATATTGACATTTCTAGCATGTCCCATTAAGCTTCCAGATTTATATTTATCATTCCTTATCAATATGAATAAATATAGAACAAAAAGACTATCACAAAGTTTTATACCAAAAAACCCCCCAAAAAACTAAAGATGTTCATGAACTGATTTGTTATTTTCTCTGTATGTGTGTTTTGTGTGTGTAAAAGGGAGAGGAAAGAGTGAGGAAGAGACAAAGAAAATGAATTTGCCTCTTAAATCCCTTAAATCCACTTTATAGAATTAATATAAATACATGTTTGTCACATTTTTCTATATTGAAACATGTTTAAATCATTAGTAAAGCTACCAATTTAGAGGAATTTAAAGATAAAACTTTCGTAAGCCAATTCTAAATTTTATAAAGTCAGATTTTCATATGAAATGTCATTTAAATCAGTTCTAAAATCTTTCTGTTTATGTTAGCACCATTAACATTATGGTACACAGGTTATACTTCAATGATGTTTTCCCTATATACTGTGTGTCCCTCTTAGCAGTGAACACAAACCCTGTGACAGGCTCTGTGCCAGTGGATGAGGCCCCCTTATTTCTCTTTGAAACTTCAGAGTCCAGTGGATTGGACAAATGTAAAACAATCCAGTAAAGTGCTAAACAGAAATATGGGCAATGGTTCTGGGCATTTAAAGTGAAGATAAATTTAGTCTGTGAGTCTCAGTAGAAGTTTCACAGAAGAGGTGGTAATTTGAGTTTTGAAGGTTGAGCAGGAGTTGGGAGCAAGGAAGGATATGATAAAGCAAGAAGCCTGCTCTATAATAAGAGTGTGTGATAAAGCTGTAAAAGTTAAAATGTGTTCAGGAAAGAGTACATATTCTGACAACACTATAGTGAGCTTCAAGGAAGTGACTGGAGTTAAGTGTGTGTGGGAATAGGCTGGGGCCATTTACTGTAGAGGACTATCTATTAGGTTTATAACTGGGATCTTATCACATTTAGTTTATTTCAGGTAAAAAGAAATCAGTGATGGCATTGGGATGGGTGTGTCATGTGACCAGAGTCCCAGGAATCATCCCACTTCAACTGGGGAGAACGATTTCACTTCAGTATGCCAGTGGCCTTTCTGTCTTCACATGAGCTTTTTAACTCGGGGTTAATAATAGACCCAGGAAGTTGCTATATTACATTTCCTTCCCTTAGAACCCTACTGGACACAGAGAGAAGAGGGGGGAAGTGAGAGACAAGGAAGGGGAGTGAGGGAGGAAATGAGGAGGGAAGCATGGGAGAAAGGAAGGGGAAAAGGAAGAAGGAAAGAGACCAAAAAAGAGAGGGAGCCAGAGAGGCAAAGAGGTGGTGATGAGGTAGAAATATCTCACTGCAATGTAATAAATTCTGAACAAATCTAGGTGGGGCCTCCTGATGAGAAAGGGATGAAGCAATGGCTGTCATGGCAGCTTCCTGAACATTCCAGTTCATTGTCAATCCCAGGCCTCCTGAGAATTTCTGCTTTCCTTAGGAATTTATTTTTCCTTTTATGGTCTTATCAGCAGTCCTTCTCCTTGTTTCTTTCCACCATACATTTCCCTGTCTTTTTCTGGAACATAAGAATGTCTGCAGACAATGCAACCAAAGCCCCTTTCATCTTGACTTGTATCCTATCAAATAAGGCAGGGCAGTCTGGTTCACAGGAGTGATCACATGGAAGGTTATGTGATACATTCCTTCTCGAAGAACTCACAATTTCATATAAAGCAAATTATTCCTCCATATAATTATTCCTTCATCAAACTCAAAAGCTTAAAATCCTACTAAATTTACCTTGAGAATAAAGCCAGATAGCACTTAGTGAGTTATACTCACTCGTTCATCAGTTCCCTACAGATGATTTCACTAACCTTGATTGTTCCCAAGCAAGGAGCTACTTGAGTTACCTCTACAATGGATGAATGTAGCACTCTTACACTCAAATCCAGGGAGGGAAAAAACTCCCTAGACTACGCAGTCATGTTTTAAAGAGCATGGGTGCTGCTGTCCTAAGGGACAGAATTGTCCTGTTTTTGTTGCTGGGTAGCTGAGAATAAGGCAGTGGGGCTGCTTGTACTGCAAGGGCTTTGTTGGGGACTCAGACCAGAGGAGGAGAAGGACACACTACCATGAACCTGTGGACCAGGCTGGCAGTGGCTGGATGAGACCCAAGGGCATCTCCATATTGGGAGATGAGGAGCAGCCTCTTCCAACAGGTTTATGAGGAAGGCAGAGGGGAAGGTGCTGCTTGCACTGTAGGAATCCCCTCTGGGCAGGGAGCAAGCCCAGATCACTGCTCAGAATCAGATCTGAGCCCAAGTCTCACAAGCTCCTAATATCTCTGATAATGAATGTGACATTGAAGGAGATCTTTTTTTCCTGATACGAATGTAATTCTCTCTATGTACCTCAAATTAGAATACATAACACCATCACATTTACTGTTCAAATTGGAATGAGACACAGAACTATCTTTATATTCTGATTGAGACATAAATTTTAGCTCCCCTTCATGAGATGAGTTTTCTGGAAGGAAGCTGTTTAACCAGGAGTATATATCCCAAGGTTGCTTCACCCAGGTTTAGGTCCATAACTAGCTCCTGCCACTGAATTGCACACATAAGTGATGTTTGTAGGCATTTCTAGATGTGGACATAGGGCGTCCTCTCCATCATCTCCTCTAATTGCCATCAGTACAGAAGCCCAATCCTCTGAAGATGGCAGAGTTTCCTGTGTCAGTCACCATCATTGACCATTACCAATATGAGCTGTTCCAATGGCCATGTTCATTTTCTACTGCTGCATAACAAATGACTACTACCTTAGCTGCTTAAGGAAACATCTATTTATTAGTCTGCAGTTCTGTAGGTCAGGAACTCCAGGTGTGATGTGGTTGATTTTTCATAGGCTGAAGTCAAGGGGCCAGGTGCCAGTGTTTTCACTCAGAGATTTCACTAGGAAAAGTTCTGCTTCCACATTCCCTCAGGATGCTAACAGAATCAAATCTCTTACAGCTCTAAAGCAGAGGTCATCGTCTTCTTGGTGGCTGTCAGCTTGGGCACTTTAAATTACTAGTAGC